GCCAGTTGATGACCCTCTAATGATGAACATGCAGAAACGGCCCGGCCTCTGCGAGCTAGGGTGGCCTCAATTCCATTTTCCCATACGACACTTGCGGCATCCGGTACCATGGCCCCTCGCTCTCTCCGATTTCCTTGCTCCTATGTCTGGGGTCTGCAATAATAATAATAATACTTTATTGAAAGCCTTGTTACATTTTACAATAATTGAACGATAATGTCTACAGTAGTATAAACTGTGTCGTAGCCATTAAAGCCAACATCCGAATCTTACAGTACATATGTTTATGACTAAGGTTAGTCGTTTTACAATTTTTACCATAAGTGAATAAATATGTTTTTGGTTCCTTATATTGTGTAAATGGTGTTTATGTTAAGTGTGTTTCATGCAATGTAGACACGAACACGACAAAATAATAATAATTTAAAATATTTTACGCAGATGCCTCTGATTCCAAACTAGGCAGGGCTAGGTGGCAACCAGACTGTTGAATTACATAATATATACATACTATAGATAAATTGCAATCAGACACAGAACAACTGATCGTGTTTATCACATAATTATTTGTCCTGGATGTGAATTGAATCCACGACCTCCGGCTTAAAACTCAGGGTCTAGTGGCGACTAACAGACCCATTAAAAATGCATTACATTTACGTACTACGAATATAAAACATATTGATGTAGCTTTTAATTCTGCTTTTAATTGGAGAAAGCGAAAAGAAAAACTCAGCACATCAACTGCAGAGTGTAAACACTTGTGAGTTGCTGACCAGTTTTCCGCCTTATATGTAACGCAGAAAAAGACCGAACCGCGACTGTTTCCTTATAGGTATGTTACTGGTATTTGAGAGAGCCGTCGCTTCAAAGCAAGTGTGTGTAAACCGACGACGCTGAGCGATTGGCGCGACAATATTGTTACTCGTGCTTAATCGATCTTGTAAAAATAAATGTAACTAGCTGAGACCAGCGGTGTTACCCGCGTTTGTTGTTATAACCGCGGGCAACGCCGCGGGGCGAAGTTAGTCTAAAAAAAGTTAGTTAGCCTAAGTTACTCCTTATGTCATCAGCTATCTGCCAGTGAAAGTCCCGTCGAAATCGGTCCAGCCGTTCCAGAGATTACCCGGAACAAACAGACAGACAGACAGACAAAAATTGTAAAAAATGATATTTTGGCATATGTACCGTGTAAACATACATATGCATTTAGTAAAAAGCGGTTATTTTAATATTACAAACAGACACTCCAATTTTATTTATTTGTATAGATAACAAATTTTTAATATCTAGTAGCTGTACCCGGCATCGCTTCGTTATATATCTTGCGGTTGCATTGATAAGAAATGGGAGACAAAATTGAAGCAATCTTTAAAGTGTGTTGTATGTCGTAAAAGTAAATTTGAGCTTAATCGATGCAGAAGTGTTTGAAACATACACATACCAACTTAACAGTTATATGTATATATATGTAATGTTATGTTTAGTTATACTCATATGATAACACTGAAGAGTTTGTTTGTTTGGTAACCTTTATGACTCATCGGAAAGCAAATATTTTTGAAGTGAAAACTTCTTTAGGCGCTTTGGGCATTTTTGAACAAACAAAAGAATATATTTTATGGTTTAAAAAAAACATGTTTGAGATAGGAAGAAACATTGAACTCGCGACACTGTTACCGTTACCGACACCTCTGTATATAAGTATCTACATATATGGCCATGGCCCCGTTTACACGAGAGTTGAGTTAGGTTTAAAAATTGATAATATAACTATATATAATCTAAACATATATTGTGTATATGTACATTTTTTTGAATGCGAAAAGTTTCGACATGGATTATCATATTCATGTCGGAACTTGTCAAATCGCAAAAATACAGAATTGTTCAAGTTATTACTTCTGTTGGCACTCCCGTAGTGCAGCTGTTTTTTGTTAATTCCTAAGCGCTATGATCACTGGTTCAGCTGCCAGGATCACTAATTGTTTCACATCATCACACACATCAACAGCCTTTAATAGTCCACTGCTGTGCATAGGCCTCTCCTTAGAAAGGAGGTTTTAGTTTTGTTTAACTTTATCGAGTTCATGTCAGTTAAAAATCTCCAATTTTTATACCAAAGGTAGAAATCGTGAAATGAAACTCCGAAACCAATTACATAAAACAGATTTCTCCTTCGCATAATATGTAATTTATCACATAATTCGGTCCGACATCTATAAGGGTCCGGTGAATGCCATGGGAGTATCGACAGATGTCCCTTTGCTCTATACTCTGAATTAATGGTGGGAACGATAGTCGTGGGATGATTGACGTACGATTAAGTATCTGTGGGACTGATAAGCCGTCTATAGAAATATGTTAACCTATTTCTTGGAGATGTATTTATGACATTATAGTTATTTTTGGGATTGCGTCTATGGCTGATGACGTCTATTGGTATGAGGTAAAAAATTGTAGTATGTTTTTTAGGGATTAAGGTGGCAAAGAAGCGGAAGAGTGACCTGATAGCAAGTGACTACCTCCGCTCATAGACACCTCTAACTCAAGAGCCACAACTGTGTTTTCCTTTGAGTTCTCCCTCCCCAGGCTCACGGAAACCCGGGAGACGGGGGGGTTTCTTCCGGTACAGTTAATCCCATGTGAAAAACAACGAAAGTAATGCTCAACTCCGGTTTTCTGTAAGGCCCTGGTGAGACCCTGATCGGGTTGAACCATTTGTGCCGAAGCCATGACTTTCTCGCGTAGGAAGGTACTCCTCGATACATTTTGTAGATTTTTAAATATTTTATTGTATTTTGTTAAAATCAATTCTCGGAATATTTTCCGAAATCATTACTAGACTTAATATCGACTTCCTCGGTGGTACAGTGGTAGTGTATGCGCCTGGTGTGCTGAGGTCTCGGGTATGGACGGGTTTCTGAGCTTGGGTGTTTTCTTTGTATAATAATTTATATGTATTTGAGAAAAAAATATTAATAAGTATTCTATCAGTCAATCTAGCTGTCATAATACAAGCTCTGCTTAGTTTGAAACTAGATGGGGTTTAGTGTACATATAAAAAAATGTTTCGGCATGTGTTTTACCTCTGTCGGTACTTGATTAATTTATTTATATACAAACAATCACGCTTATATGCTCATAGGTGTAGGCAGAAGCAAGCTTTGCCAACTACAACTTGGTTGCACTCGTGTAATAGGGGGCTAATTTTGGGAGTTAAATATGGCAACATTGAAAGTAAACAGATTGATATGATGGGAATTGCATTAAAATTATTAGAGAATTGCTTACTCGGATGGCTTCTGTAGTGTGAGCACGTCAAGTTGTATACCTGTCACTCCAGCTGCTTGTTACCCGACAGTCAGAGCTTTCTAATAAATGTCTTTAGACATAGATAAAAAAAACATTCAACTAACGACAATATTTTAATCTGGCGATTAAGGAGACCCTTGTACAACCGATTTTCTATAAGCTTATCTGAATTCCTTTGTGAAAAGTTATTTAAAAAAAAAATGAGGATACATCATGGAGAGTGCTCCGAGGAAATGTTCGGTCTAATACCAGCCGCAACTTTCCACCATCGTTCCACCCGGCAAAATTTTCATCCTTATTACCTGGATAGTTGGCGCTCCACTGCTGTGCGCTTTTTGAGACACTTTTTGCCCCGCACGACCAATCTGTGGAACGGGTTATCGTCTGCGGTATTTCCGGACCGATACGACCTTCAAACCTTCAAGAAAAGAGCGTACTCCTTCCTAAAAGACCGGCAACGCGTTTGTGACTCCTGAGTTACAGACGCTCATGGGCGGCGATGGTCACTTTCCATCAGGTGAACCGTCTGCTTGTCTGCTCCCTCTAAAATACAAAAAAAAAAAGATTGATGATTGATTTTTTTGGTTGGTCTTATGTAATTTTCTTTTATTACACGATAAGCAAGAGTACACTTTTTAACCATTAAAAGACCGTTAATAAATAAAATAAATAAAAAATACTGTCACTTCGAAGAAATCGTAAACGAATAAAATTATTCTAACTAACAACACCGCAAATCTGTCAGGCTTTCACAATGTCAAAATTGGCGGGAATAAAAACAGTTTTCGTGCCAATCGTCCAATATGTCGTCGCTTAATCCCTATCCCTTCACGTCAGACAAGGGGTGGCTTAGAGCTTTATTGATGGTATTTATAACGTTTTAAAATAATACTATGAAATGTAAACTTAAAAAAGTTAAAAGTTCGGATTTGGGTCTGTGCACGATCATTGGTTCTCTGTCTGGGTGTTTATTTATAGGTAATATGCATGTAAATTTAAGTTAGTTTATCAGCAGTCTCTGTATAGTTTATTACAAGTTATTCATGAATGTTATTTTATGTTTCATTTCACGTGCAACGTTTTTTATGTATTTGTAAAAATGTGTCACAAACGCAACATTCTTTTTGAATGGTCGCATTTGAAATTTTTTATTCAATTCAGTCGTTGACTTACAACCATTGTTAAATCAATCGAAGCGATTTACGCACGAAACTTGTTGAAGCAAAAGTTGGTAATTTCGTCTTTTTTGGTTCGAAACGTTCTTATATTAGACCGACCTATTTATTTAAACCGTCGAACGCAGTAAAGGTCGACCCTAATTTCAAAAATAGCCTAATCCCCACTTTATCGAGTGGGCAAAAACCACGCGTAAACAAAATGCCATCGCAAAAATGGCAACCATTTTCATTCATATTTCGTCGCGTTCCAACGATTACGGTTTGTGAGGCAACGGTTGGTTTTACTTTTTTTGCGGCAATTTAGGCGGTATTTCAACTGGACTTTTTGCGGCCACTTTTAATCGGTGTTGCTATTTTAGAAAGCTCGCCGACGAACGTGTTTCATTATTTTGTCCTTTTTAAAGGTTCTTATTTTGAATGTCTACAATTCTCATTAAAAGATATTTTAATTAGGATTTTCCTTGTTTCAGATGCATATAGTACAAAATATGATACGATGACGTGACGATGCTGCTGCAGCAGGCGTCGTCGTCGCCTGGTCCAAGCGGCACGGCCAGTCCCAAGTTAGCTCCCAGCCCGAGGCCTAATCAGAGTCCATGTTTTGGAACTAGACTGGCTGGTAGTCCAAGTTTGAGTGATGGAGCGTCTAGTTCAAACAGTCCCAAGTTGGGCGCCAATAGTCCAAAGTTGGGGGCTAGCCCGAAGTATGGGAGTCCTCGCCTTGGGAGTGGCAGTCCTAAGCCAGGGCGAGCTGCGTTGGAAGACGAGGCAGCGTTGGAGAGGCTTCAGGCTGAATTGAAGGAAGGCTGGACGGTGCACACGGGGAGAGATGGTAGACTATATTATTGCAAGTAAGTAAAACAAACTTTAAAAATATATTTATTTTTTCCTCCGAGTCTTTTGCCCAAACTATGTTGGGGTCGGTTTTAAGTCTACTATGATACTGTTGAACTTTGATTTCTTACGCGGAGCGACTGCAATCAGACCTCCACAAGCCAAGTCATAGGCGATATCGAAGTTCTGTATAAAAACTATTGTTGGACTTTTCACGGCTTCAAGTACCCGTAACAATTGCCACAGATGTTCATATGGTAATCAGGGCCGGCGGCTTAACGTGCTCTCCGAGGCATGAAAGGGTCTTAATGTGTTAAGAGCATACTATTAACAATACTTATACTACTAAATGTCTTCTGTTAACGAGCTCTTTTATACTAACTTTTAAACTTCCGCGTTTCATGGTATATAGGAGTAACGAGTACTTCATTAATGGCTGCAGTAACCTAGTCTAAACGTTGGACAAAACATGTATATGTCAACAGTCTTTACTAGTCCACTGCTGGACTTAGGCCTCTTTTTAGAAAGGAGGTTTTGGCCTACTATACCACGCTGGGTTGGTACAGGGTTTGTTTCATGTTTTCCTTCTATTTGCATTGCTGATGTCCTGCGTAGTTTGCTCCCTTAGTCGGCTCTTACGACACCCACGGGGTGAATAGGGGTGTGGTGACACTCTGTATTCTTAATCCGTCACCACACGCATGTATGTATTGCCTATTAATCGCGTATATATCCACAGTAATACTTATGTAAGATGAATTTGTATCAAGATGCTGATTTGGATGCAAAAATATGCAATTCATTAATTTTATTCATGTTAATGATCTCTTTATTTATAACGGTTTACTGTTGTATTGTAAATAAGTTTTTTAAGAGAGGATGTTTTCTATTTATAGCATAACATTGACCTGCTTTTAATGTTAGAAAATTTACCGGAAAGATGCCGGAACTTTGTTCCGCGAATCTGTGGAGCTAAATGTAAAACAGACTCTGCTGTAAATAAACTCAAATACAAATAATTTGCAATCTATATAATGTGAGTCGAAGTTTTATTAGAAAATAAAAAATAGACCTATTTAATAAATACTTATTTTTAATTAAAGTAGAAAAGTTGCTCTAGCAAACACATGGTTCATCACATCACATCAACAGCCTTTATTAGTCCACTGCTGGACATAAGCCTCTCCTTAGAAAGGAGGTTTTGGCCTACTATACCACGCTAGCCAGACGGTTGATATAGGGTTTGTGTCAAGTTTTCCTTTTCTCTACACTGCTGTTGTTCCGCGGAGTTTAAAACATATGATTATTATTTCTAAATTGTATTTAAGTTACCATGTATATTGCTAGTTTAAATAGAATATAGAGAGCTATTGTTTAAGCCTTTTATAAAATTATTCAACCTCAATAAATTTATTTATAAGTTAGCTGGTACCCGCGAATTTGTAAAGCGATGCCTTAGTGGATTCGATTCCCAGACCGGCCAAAATTTTTAATGGGTTTTATGAGAGAAATAAGCCTAAATTACGCCTTATATAGACAGCTACCTGGTATTAAATAGTATCAAAATCGGTTGAGCCGTTTAAAATATTACCTGGAACAAACAGACAGAGAGATAAAATAAAATTTGGTTTTTAGGTACAGTTATCGTGCAAATAACCGTGTGAGCACGAAAAAAACCTTTTATTTGACAAACAGACACTTAAATTTTATTTATTCGTATGGATAATACCATTTTCCCCAATAAATAAATAAGGATTAATTTTGATTACTGTAAAATGATACATTGACGATAAGATAACAACACCGTACCGTTACGTACGAATCTTCTTGTAATTTTGCAGTCAGAATGTAAACATCTAGTCCACAACTCAAATGGAAATGCCAAATAAAAAGAGAATTGACTGCACGGATGGCGTAGTAGTTTAAGCGGTCGCCACGCCGCTTACTACTACGCTAAGTGTTGTGGGTCCAATCCCCACATGGGACGACACTTTGTGTGATCCACAAATTGTCCAGGTATGAGTCCGGGTGTTCTTTGTGTCCGTTTCATGTATATTTGTAAAGTACCCCGCGACACAGGATATATTCCTAATGCGGGAGTTTTCTTTAAAAAAAACAATTGGAGATTGATCAAAGTTTTAACTAAAATAATCTTTAAAATACATATTATATTCAGTTGTTAACTGAAGATCATATGGGCTCTTATTAATAATGGGGTAGGTCATGCAATTAAGAGGCAAGTTCAACCCCTTGAAATTTGCTGCAGACGCTACTCAAACAACTTAACTTCCTCATCGGAAGTCGCGCTAAGAAAATGAAGTCCCTACACTGTTTGAGTTAAGAGTGCACAGACAATTCGAACTATACATCAAAGCCTTTGAATTCCAGTTAAAGAACGTACTAGAAGACATAATAGAGTCTTGAGCAAACTAATACTGTTCCTATGACTTGTGGGTAGTTAGATATTTCTTTTCAACTACCCTCAGGTTTAATATTGTTCTTGTGACTTGTGGGTAGATGGATATTATTTTTTCTGACTACCTACTAGTTTTTTTTTTTACCATGGTAGGAAGGCAATCAAGCAGACACGTCATTTGATATGTAGTGCCTACCATAGAAATAGAGAATGGACTACGCGTTCCTTAGTTAGTTGTGCCGTGAATACAGAACGAAAAGTACGAGAGAGACAAAGCGAATGTGCGGCCAGTGGTTGTCTCTTTCTAGTATTCTGATTGGTTCAAGTCACTGGGTAAGTTTACAAATAACTAAGGTGATGAATATTAAGTGTATATATTATATGTAAATTATTGTAGATTATTTTTGTTAAGTTAAAAAAAGGAGGTAACTTTGTTCAGTTAATTAAATGAAATTAATTCAATTACTTTTTCTATTTTAATATTATGCTACCAATAAGTAAAACATTTAGACTTGCAGAAAAGAGACAGGTATTGGCAGCACAGTCGCTTTGTCTCTTTCTAGAGAGTGGTCACTTTTATGAGCATAACGCTCAGCCCATTCTTTTTTTTTTTTTGGTGCCTACCGCCTCCCATAGACATCTACGGTTCAAGAGTCTCAAATGCGTTGCCAAAATACATCGACTTTTGATAAAATGTTTATTGTTCGAAAATATCTATATACTTATAAGATCATTGAAATTGACCTGAAAGTTCATAAAACACTACCTGTACCCACAATTTGGTATATCGTGTCAAAAGAGACTGTTCACGGGTCACTCGGTTAAGACTTTTTTGGGTTTTTGAAGAATTCAGGCGTAGAATGTTTAAAAATGTGCATCAACACTAGGAAAAACATTTTTTAAGTAAAAAGAAAAATGTCAAATTCTTTTTGTTTCAAGTCAGATTAACTATCTGTGAGCTTATAGATTCCGTCCTTAAATTTAACCACACTTTTATGTAACACTGTGTATCACATCACATCAACAGCCTTTACTAGTCCACTGCTGGACATCTTCTTCTCCTTAGAAAGGAGGTTTTGGCCTACTATACCATGCTGGCCAGACGGGTTTGTTTCGAGTTTTCCTTCTCTCTGCCGTGCTGTTATCCTGCGTAGTTTGCTTCCTTAGTCGCCTCTTACGACACCCACGGGATGAATAAGGGTGGTGACACTCTGTATTCTTAACACTGTGTACATAATAATATATTAGAATAAAAACTCATCAGTTGTATTCCTTTTTATAATGGACAATTCTAGAAGTTTAGCTAATTACACATATTTTCACAATCGTATGTTCAAACTTAAACCAGACAATCTCTGTTTTCTCTTTACGTATTTTTAATAGTAGTTAACTAATTATTGTAATACGAAGCCATTGCTAAATACACGGACTGTATAGTAATAGCCCTGATAGTCTTGACTTTCACTGTAGTGCATTTTACTGAGTAAAAGTATCATAATGAATGAATAAAAAAACTATTCTTTAGCAAATGGTTTGAACTTTCTCATCCTTGTCTTTTGTACATACTAATCAGTATATATATTGATAGATAAAAAAAGACGGGTTAGTTAGTTACATTATTTATAACTCAAGAATGGCTGGACCGATTCTTGTGATGTTTGAATTTGTCTCTTTATTAAATTCACGTAGAAAATTTGTTTTCTCATACATTCCGTATGAAACATAAGACGGATAATGAACAGAGTTGTGACTGAAAATGCAAGTGAAACTGTGGGAACTACTAGTATTTATAAAAACTAACTTAGCTAATGTAAAAGTATCTTTTTCATTTCTTTAGCAAGAGGCGTGTTTTATTAATTAAATGTACCCTATGCATTTATGTTTTATTTTCGTTTAGCAACCCCACGGATATCATTTCACCAGAGCCGGAGGTGTAATGATTTTTCGGACTTGAACCGACTAAAACCATACGGTGTTCCGTCATAAGTGTATCTTTTTCTTTATTGGCACCGTTTGTGCATAAACTGCAAGCTAACTTGATTTTTAACTTTATTTTTTATTTTTTATAACTTATAAGATAAAAAGTAGACACTTAGTTTAGACTTAAAAAGAAGAAATAGTTAAATTCCACGCGTTTTTTTACGTACTAAATAGGTTTTTCTGGGCATTCTGAGTATTGTTTGTTATTTTTAATTCAAGGAAACACTTTTTTTTTACGAATAATACTTTTAACATATTGACTACTGACATATTCCTGTGAATTCTTTATAATGATTTGGATATCAAGCACATATACATATTTCTCAGATACCTGACATTGTTAGCTATTATTTGTATTATTTATGTATCTGATATATTTTAAGATCATAATCTCGAGAATGTCGGTAAATCGGTATTATAAGATGGCAAGCTCTATTTTTAAAATGACAAGTCTCGCAAGTCTCGATTACCAACTGTCACCGCTAGTACTGTCAAACTATAACAAATGTTTTTTGTTTATGGCAATAACAAATGTTATAGCTTGTGCCAGAGCAGAGCAACCATCACTTTTTGCTCGAGACAGCTTCGTGAACGGGCGCATTACTTACGTTTGTGAAATGAAGTT